CAGTGTTCAGGTTACTAAGACGTGCCTACAAGTCTGTTTAAAACAGGAAGAGTGTTAGAGAAGTGAGTAAAGCTTAAAGTTCTTATATTGCACGCATGCAAATGCATTAGGAAGACTGCACACTGTTTCAAAATAAGACCTTAAGCATAACTAAATAAATGTGTCATGCTATAGAAACTAAAATCAAGAAATTTTACGCTGTAAATAAAGCATCCCATATGAACTGAAACATATTTTAACAATCAGTTTACCCATAAGTCACTTCCTGAACATTGCTTTACATCTGTCAAGTATTTATGACACCTCTGGACAGGTATTCAAGCCTCAGACAAATAGACTCCATCTCACAGTTCCTCTGCATTTCTCTTAGAGTTGCCTCAGAAACAACATTTATGACGTCAAGTTTCCTCTTGAATAATAGGGTGGGGACGGGGTGGCCAGTTCATAATGTACGTCTGGAACCAAAATTCTGCTGGTTTACTGGTGGGTTTGGTGTTGTCTTCTTGAAACACTCAATTCAAGGACATTTCCTCTAGCGAATAAAATCACCTCTTCAAATATTATTATGTGATAAAAACAAGTAAAGTGTCAGTGGATGAGAAACCTCCCCATCTCATGGTGTGTGAGTCACCCTGCTGTCTTTTCAATCTTACTTTAATGAATCCTATATTTGGACAAATGACTAATGTTTTTCATACCAAAAATAATTAAAATTTACTTTTTTTTAATTCATCTTGCTTTCTGTTCTTAAAAATAAATTGCAGCTGATGAAAAATATTTGAAAAAAATTAAATTGTTTCTTCTGGGAACTGACCTAATTCAAAGTTGAAATCAAAACAAGCTGTAAAAAATGTTTGTAAAACAGGACGGTAGGCCCTCGACAAGTTGACATCACTCTGAACAACAAAAACACAAGAAACAAAATCCTGATTTTCTTAAAATGAACAGAAAATTCAATTCATCAATCAAATTGGTTGGTTTTACTGCAATTTTTTGGAGAGGAATGCGGTGTAAGCAGCATTTTGCCGCAATCAGCCTTAAATTAGGATAATCAATTTGAAACACTGCTATAGTATAATTCAATTCCACTAATTAAGCATCATGTATGTCATTATTTGGTGATGACTCTGTGAACCACAAAACATATAACTTCATTCTTCAAAACTCTTGAGTTTTTAGAGAATGGCACCTCTTGTTTCACTTCTAATGTCCCAAAGTTCACCATCACACCAGTTTATCCAGTCAGATACATTTATTTCATAAATAGTTTAAATACAATTATAAAAATTACAGGTGTTCCTTTTGTTAAATAAATACATATATTATAAATATCTAAATAATTTAGGTCTCAGCTACATTTTAGTGTGAACATTTCCAGTGCATTTAACTACTTAACGAAACTAAAATAGGCATCAAATTCTGAAGATCTGTAAACTGCAAAGGTTGACCATTATTTCATCATCATCATCACTGTAGGAGATACATGAGCTGAGCACATAACATATAGTCAGAAGAAAACCTTTAGCCTTTAGCAATATTTTCAAAGAAATAGCGTTATGCTATCTCACTCCAATATCAGTATAAATATTTAAACAAAAATCTTGACCATGACAAATAACATTAGAGAATACAAATTAATTTTCTTTTACTCCTCAACATTAAGCATGGACCCCAGTACCTCCTGTACATTCTGTCCCCAGTCCCTCAGCCTGACTAAAACTCCACATCCATAGACTTTCTTGTCATAACAATATACATAGGGCAGGTTCAGTGCAGCAGGTGGTGCAGGCAGAGCTGCCGATGGGTCCATGGTCTTGATATGGCATTTGGTTTTATTTAAAAGATGGTGAAGTCTAATCTTTAGCGTTGACAAGTAAGTCAGGATGGGACATGTCGTGAAAAAGCACTGATATTTTTGTACTTGGGAGAGATGCAAAGAAAAAATCTCATTTTTGGCATAGATGTCTTGGAGCTTCTCAGTCATGTTGAAACCAGCTACCGTGGCACTAGGAATTTCATCAGGAATCTGAGGATTACAGAACTTGCGCTCCTCCTGTGATAGAAGAAAAGCAAATGTAAAAAATTGTGGGTTAAACAAGACATTTTAAAATACACATTGAAATACACCAAAAGCATGAGCTTTTGTAAGGTTCAGAAAGCAGCCAATCAGTAATCTTAAGAGCTATGTCAAAGGTTAATTTTGTTTTACTTCTGCTTCTTAAAGAATAATGTATATGCTAGTATATTGGGTACTTAGTTCCACAATACTAGATGAATTCCTCTTCCTGAAAGGAGCTATTACACCCACTAACATCTTTCTTTTTATTTCCCCCCATTGAAAGTACTTCTGGGTTGGCCTTTGGTATTTAGTCATGTTTTTTTGTTGTTGTTGTTAAATTCAACAATTTACAAAGAATTGATTCAAATAATTTGGTGAGGGTAAAAATTGATGGCAACATTTGGACTTATTTAGCAACAGAATTATTCTTTGGTACAGCAAGTTATAAAATCACTTACACTGGTACTTACATATATTTGCAGTGTCTCATTTGTTTCGTGTACCAGTAGATTTGTTAGATCCGCAGTGTTTTTGAAAGAACACTTGTGTCCAATTGGAGTTGGAAGTGCGAAACTCCAATGATTCTCCAAAAGCATCAAGACCAGCACTAAACAGAAAAAGAAAACATATATATATATATATATATATATATATTATATATATATATATATATATATATATATATATATATATATATATATATATATATATATTATGTACATTCAGTTGGAATCAAACATTTACATTCAGTGATTAAGATCTTTTAAAAATATTGTTTGGTGATGTGGGATTCCGTGTTGTGTAAGATAATACATACTCATGAAATAATGTTGCTGGATTATTTTATGTAATTTATGTCTCAGTATTTAATTGTTTTGAGGCTTTTTCTTATCTCGGCCTGCAATGGGACTGCAGATGTGATTCAGCTATAGACAACGATCTGATACAGTGCATCAAATTATGACATGTGTATCTAAGTTGTACGTTGTCCCCATTTAAATAGAGTCAAAGTAAAGAAGAAAATCATAAAAATATAAATTATTTTCTTCCCCAAATGACAGTAAATATTTCTTTCATTTAGGATTACATAACATTTGTTAAAGGCCATTCTATCTCCTGTGGGAATTACCATGTCTTTAAACAATATGGAAAAAAAACAAAGAAAGTTTTGTAAGCTGCTTCTTAATTGATTTGCAACATGCTGGTTAAATCAGCGCTATATAAATTTAACTGAAATAGAGGAACGCATGTGGATCTCAAACATTCAGCATCCTTGTTTGGCATCGTGGAAAAATGTAAAAAACTTAGGCATCATTGAAAAGTCCTTAATGAAGGACTTAGAGAAGCCAAGGTCGGCCAGGCCTTTTTCAAACACTAAGTGACTTAGCCTACAGTTCACAAAGTTCTGAAAGAAAATCATAGCAATTTAACACAAATCTTCACAATATTCTGAAATTGATTATTTTGTTTGAGATTAAGTAGCATGTACCAGCAGAGAAAAAGTAAAGGTAAATCCAGTTGAGATAAAACAACAATAAAGTATTTATAAAAAAATGACTAAAACAAAAACTAATCTATTAAATTATACTTTCTAAATAGAAAGTATTACTCTAAAAAAATGTTTTTAGTTAAAAGTACTTACCATAGTGCATTAGACATGCATTGAATTTAGAGCCCATAATGACAATAGCAAGTGACTTCCTTAACTCAAGGTGTTGCTCTTCAGTGACAATAGTGGCCTATATTGCATTTATAGAAGATGACACCCACTTCTTTTGACTCCCGCACAAACTCTCCACAGTCATTCAGTAAGATTCCACTGAAATGTTTTTAGACACTTGCGTCACGACAGATAACATATTGTTTTAGAATATCAAAGACTCAGGAATTAATTTGAAGTTATTGTTCAATTTCAATCCCTAAAACGTTTTTCTTTTCCTTTATGATTTTTCTATTAGCTCATTCTATACCTAGGATACATAAAAATGCAAGTCATTCCTACGATATCAGGAGTTTCACAACAGTGGATTTATGTATGGAAGTTTAAGTAAGATTTTTCTCTAAGTCTCAATATTTAAGTAGAAAATATAATTGCTGTCCTTTATGCTTTTAACTAGATGACATTTATGTTATTTTCATTTTATATTTACATAAAACATGATATGTAAGATTTCCACCTGGTAACCAAAGATCAGAAAAAGTGACTTATTTGATGAGATCAAGGAAAACAATTTCTCATCTATGCTTTCTGATCTTGTACCCCAAAAATATGCTCAGGTTCCTTTTCATCTCAGTTTTTAGAACTTAATTTTTCATCTGACATTTAAAAATTTACTTTAGAGTCTTCAGATTAAAAATGAAGAAAAACAACAAATACCTTATTTTTCATCCCAAACTATACATTCTTTGAAGCCAGCGGTGAAGCCAAATAGCTGGAGTTTTTAGTTCTGAAAAGGCATTTTCAGAAAGCATCAACACATTCTGAAAATACGTTAATGAGTCCTAAGACGCCAGACCTTAGGACTCATGAACAATTTAACACAAATTTAACACCGGAGACCTCGGCGTCTCAGGTGCCTTGTTTTATATGTACTTATAGCTTAAAAACGGCTATAAGTATATATAAAACAAGCAATGTTACTAATGTGAGCCTAATACTGAATGTCTAGGTGCAAACATTTACTGAACTTGTCCTCATTTAAGACACACTTTTATACCCAAGTCTTTGGCTTAGATGTGAAGGAGTAACATTGTTGACAGTGACTTCAAAACTTCCTTTTAAAGCTATAGTGATGAGAAATCCATAAAGAATGCTTTAATCACCATATTAGTTCCGTTTTGTAAAAAGCCTAAATGACCAAATACCTTAATGTCATGAGGTATTTAACATTTCAACTATGCTCTTGGCAAACAATGTGCAAAATAAATTTATTTTACAATGTCAACAATAAGACTTTTTTTATTATTATTCGTTTTTATTGAATGACAGAAGCAGCACAAAAGTTACAAAGGTTTACAGAACACTTCAGAAATGGTAGAAAAACGTAGTTGTACCAAAAAAAAAAAAAAAAAATCGTCTAATTGAAATTCATTAGTTAAAGGTTTATTGTGCAAGTAGCAAAAACTAAGACATAGTGTCATTGACCATGGCATTGTTTAAAAATGCTGACCCATTATAGAAAAAAAATAATAAATTCACACTCCAAATTCTTATCAAAGGAAAATGAGCTACAACTTCTGTTAAAGAGCTCTCATAATACTCTTAGATGAAAATAAGTAACAGGTTACTTCTCACATATTTTAGCCATGGAGTTAGAAACCTGATATTCACATACTTGTACTTTTTGAGGAGCTAATTTATGAAACTCATGCTGGAATTACAACTTATAGCTATAACATTTTCAAGTCTTTCCTTTGAAGGTTGCCGAGAAGGCTTGGAATAGTATGACATTCTCTCACAATCTTCTTGTCATATTTGCATTTTTGAAAGGGAAGGGATGACTTTTGATGCTTAGCTTCCAGGAAATGAGTAAACTCCAATTAATTATGACTACGTCAGTTACTATTAGCCTTGTGGTTGCTGATTGCAACATTCACTTTCAGTTAAAGAGATCTTTAACAGAGAACACCCACACTTTGGACCCCCTTGCTATTTTTTCTATCTGCTGCTTATGGGTCTTCCAAAGTGCATGTACATCGCATGCATTTTCTCCAAATTAAACAAACAAACAAAAAAAAAACAGCATTAGTCTCATTATTTAAGTTGTACATATAAAAGGAAGAATGTAATCTGTGTTTGCCACATAAGGAAGTCCTGTAGAATACTTTAACTTTATACCACATAGATCATAGAATCTTGAATAAAATACAAAGAGTCTATCTTACCTATTCGTGCCTGAATTTCTGATTTGAATTGTATAAGTGTGCTGTTGTCTCCATCATGTGAGTTCTTGAAGGCCTCCTGGGGTATGGTGGGGCTGTCTGCAAATATTTTTCAGCTTAGCTAAGATAAGAAGGGTCACAGACGAGCTTTGGATAAGTCCAAAAGAAGCGCTCCTGGTTTTAATGGCAAAGTCGTAGTCGTTAATACTGTTGGCAATGCAGTGAGGATCTAGGCACGGTTAACATCTTTTCCTGATACCGCTGTCCAAGAAGAACTGACCAAGGAGGGGAGGACACAACGAGTCAAGTGGTGGACGGTTCATTCCTCTGGTGATGGAGCATGTCTGTGACACTCACGATGTCTTCTTCGGGCACCTGGAAAAGAAAAGTAACAGAACTTTCATTTACTGTACCTATATTGTTATTAGAAACATAGTTATGAGAAGAATACAGCCACTCATCAAGGTCAAAAACACATTATGAATTCCTTTTTCCATCAAACCACTTTTTGGTCTACTATAAAAGCTTTTAGGTTTTATCAAAACCTTGTCCCACTGAAAACTAAAGGGAAAAGGGGTTTAAAAGCTAATTAAAACAGAAAGTGCTGAAACAAAAGATAAGGAAAAGCATAAAAGAGAATTTTCTTCATGAAAGTTAGGTAACAGGAACATAACAGGACAAGCAAGGATGCACATGGATAGAAATACAATACCAGACCAATGCCATGAAATAAAATATTTGTGAACTGCCAATATAAAAGTTCAGTTCGATGAAGTGATTTAACCTAGATAAATACTAAATAACTATAATTTGCTGTATTAGAGGTCAGCCAATAACCTCCCATAGCTGCAGTGACAAAGGTTTGGTTTTGTAATCAGTTAGGAATGATTTTAATCATTTGGTTGTTGCATTTGTCCTGAGTGTTTTATTTTTATCTCATTTCCAGTTATTGTTCATTCTTTCAATTTACAAAAAATGTCATGCGTCATTTTACCAACAAAAAAAAGACTGCCATATATAAGTATATATATATATAGGTTCATTAGAAAGATGACATCAGAAGTGAACAGTGGCAATATTGATTAAAGGGAGATATTCTGCTTTTGAAAAACTATTTTTTTTTTTTAAGTTGACCTCGACTTACTCTTTTCTTCTGCCTCCAACTTTTTCTTTTTCACTCCTGGGCAGATTCTCACTGACTGCATTAATCAACTAGTCATTTTAGAAACTTTCTCAGAAGTGTAAGGATGGTTGAACTTTTAAAAAATGACTTCCTATGCATGTCAGTCGAGTTCACTATTATTAGAGCCCATTTGTGGGGGTTTTTCAAGGTGAAGGAACAATTACGATTACACAATGTAATGCAATGACATGCTGCAAAACGAGGCACGGAAAGGAGTTACAAACTAAAACATTCATTGGGTGGAACATTAAGAGTCATGACATGGATATAAAAACACGCAAACGCCCAACCTCACCAGATTTACATCTGATTATCATTCATCACTAAACGTAGGAGACAACACTGACTAAACAGTCGGACATTGCTGATTAAACTATGGAATATATATATATATATATATATATATATATATATATATATATATATATTATATATATATATATATATATATATATATATATATATATCCATGCCTACTGGCTAAAGAAACTCACTGCTCTCCATGAGCGAATGGCAGCCCAAATGAACCAGCTGCTACAAAGTGGGACTCACCCTGAATGGTTAACTGAAGGGCGGACAATCCTAATCCAGAAGGATCCATCAAAGGGTCCAGTCCCACCCAACTACCGACCAATAACCTGCCTCTCCACAACCTGGAAGCTCATGTCAGGCATCATAGCGGCCAAGATAAGCAAACACATGGATAAACACATGAGCACGGCACAGAAGGGTATCGGTGTAAATACCAGAGGAGCCAAACACCAACTCCTCATAGACCGCACAGTTGCCCGAGACTGCAAAACCCGACACACCAACCTGTGCATGGCTTGGATTGATTACAAGAAAGCCTATGACTCAATGCCGCATACTTGGATCATTGAATGCTTAGAGATGTATAACATCAACAGGATTCTGAGAGCCTTCATTGCAAACTCGATGAGGCTGTGGAAAACCACCCTTGAAGCCAACTGCAAACCACTTGCACAAGTGTCCATCAAATGTGGCATATACCAAGGAGATGCTCTGTCCCCGCTACTGTTCTGCATAGGCCTGAACCCCCTCAGCCAAGTTATCAACAAGACTGGCTACGGATACAGACTCAAAAATGGGGCCAATATCAGTCACCTACTCTACATGGATGACATCAAGCTGTACGCCAAGTGTGAGCGAGACATCGACTCACTGATCCACACCACCAGGATCTACAGCACTGACATTGGGATGTCATTCGGACTAGAGAAATGTGGTCGGCTGGTCACAAAGAGGGGGAAGGTCATCCACACAGAAGGGGTCTCACTCCCAGAAGGAACAATAGCAGACATAGAGGACAGTTACAAGTACCTAGGTATACCACAAGCAAATGGCAACCTCGATGAGACCACAAGGAAAGGAGCCACAGCTAAATACCTCCGACGAATAAGGCAAGTCCTGAGAAGCCAGCTCAATGGCAAGAACAAAATCCGTGCGATAAACAGCTATGCCTTGCCAGTAATCAGATACCCTGCTGGAATAATTAGCTGGCCAAAGGAGGAGATAAAAGCCACAGATATTAAGACCAGAAAGCTACTAACAATGCATGGAGGGTTCCATCCCAATCCAGCACCTTGAGACTGTACACGAGCCGCAAGGAAGGAGGCAGAGGACTAGTGAGTGTGAGAACCACTGTCCAGGACGAAACAACTAAGATCCATAAATACATCAGGGACAAAGCCTCAACAGACAATGTGCTCAGTGAATGTCTCAGACAACAGGGAACGGAGGTTGAGGTGCCAGAGATACCATCATGGGAGGACAAGCCCCTACATGGGATGTACCACCAGCAAATAACCCAAGTGGCTGATATCAGTAAATCCTACCAATGGCTGGAAAAAGCTGGACTCAAGGACAGCACAGAGGCCCTCATCCTGGCCGCCCAGGAACAGGCCCTAAACACCAGAGCAATAGAGGCCCAGATCTACCACACCAGACAAGACCCAAGGTGTAGGTTGTGCAAGGAGGCCCCTGAGACAGTCCAGCACATCACAGCAGGGTGCAAGATACTGGCAGGGAAAGCGTACATGGAGCGACATAACCAAGTGGCAGGCATAGTGTACAGAAACATCTGTGCAGAATATGGACTGGAAACCCCGAGATCAAAGTGGGAAACACCCCCAAAGGTGGTGGAGAACGCCAGAGCTAAGATCCTGTGGGACTTCCAGAACCAGACAGACAAAATGGTAATGGCGAACCAACCAGACATTGTCGTAGTGGATAAACATCAGAGGAAAGCCTTTGTGGTAGATGTAGCAATACCAAGTGATTGCAACATCAGGAAAAAGGAGCACGAGAAACTGGAGAAATACCAGGGCCTCAGGGAAGAACTGGAGAGGGCCTGGAAGGTGAAGACCACAGTGGTGCCTGTGGTCATCGGGCCCTCGGGGCAGTAACCCCCAAACTGGAGCAGTGGCTACAACAGATCCCAGGAACAACATCAGAAATCTCAGTCCAGAAATGTGCAGTCCTTGGCACAGCCAAGATACTGCGCAGAACCCTCAAGCTCCCAGGCCTCTGGTAGAGGACCCGAGCTCAGAGGATAAGAACCACCCGCGGTGGGTGAGAAGGGAATTTTTATATATATATATATATATATATATATATAATATATATATATATAATATATATATATATATATAAAAAAATTCCCTTCTCACCCACCGCGGGTGGTTCTTATCCTCTGAGCTCGGGTCCTCTACCTGGTTTATATATATATATATATATATATATATATATATATATATATATATATATATATATATATATATATATATATATATATATATATATATATATAAAATTCCCTTCTCACCCACCGCGGGTGGTTCTTATCCTCTGAGCTCGGGTCCTCTACCAGAGGCCTGGGAGCTTGAGGGTTCTGCGCAGTATCTTGGCTGTGCCAAGGACTGCACATTTCTGGACTGAGATGTCTGATGTTGTTCCTGGGATCTGTTGTAGCCACTGCTCCAGTTTGGGGGTTACTGCCCCGAGGGCCCGATGACCACAGGCACCACTGTGGTCTTCACCTTCCAGGCCCTCTCCAGTTCCTCCCTGAGGCCCTGGTATTTCTCTAGTTTCTCGTGCTCCTTTTCCTGATGTTGCAATCACTTGGTATTGCTACATCTACCACAACGGCTTTCCTCTGATGTTTATCCACTACGACAATGTCTGGTTGGTTCGCCATTACCATTTTGTCTGTCTGGATCTGGAAGTCCCACAGGATCTTAGCTCTGGCGTTCTCCACCACCTTCGGGGGTGTTTCCACTTTGATCTTGGGGTTTCCAGTCCATATTCTGCACAGATGTTTCTGTACACTATGCCTGCCACTTGGTTATGTCGCTCCATGTACGCTTTCCCTGCCAGTATCTTGCACCTGCTGTGATGTGCTGGACTGTCTCAGGGGCCTCCTTGCACAACCTACACCTTGGGTCTTGTCTGGTGTGGTAGATCTGGGCCTCTATTGCTCTGGTGCTTAGGGCCTGTTCCTGGGCGGCCAGGATGAGGGCCTCTGTGCTGTCCTTGAGTCCAGCTTTTTCCAGCCATTGGTAGGATTTACTGATATCAGCCACTTGGGTTATTTGCTGGTGGTACATCCCATGTAGGGGCTTGTCCTCCCATGATGGTATCTCTGGCACCTCAGCCTCCGTTCCCTGTTGTCTGAGACATTCACTGAGCACATTGTCTGTTGAGGCTTTGTCCCTGATGTATTTATGGATCTTAGTTGTTTCGTCCTGGACAGTGGTTCTCACACTCACTAGTCCTCTGCCTCCGTCCTTGCGGCTCGTGTACAGTCTCAGGGTGCTGGATTTGGGATGGAACCCTCCATGCATGGTTAGTAGCTTTCTAGTCTTAATATCTGTGGCTTTTATCTCCTCCTTTGGCCAGCTGATTATTCCAGCAGGGTATCTGATTACTGGCAGGGCATAGCTGTTTATCGCACGGATTTTGTTCTTGCCATTGAGCTGGCTTCTCAGGACTTGCCTTATTCGTTGGAGGTATTTAGCTGTGGCTCCTTTCCTTGTGGCCTCATCGAGGTTGCCATTTGCTTGTGGTATACCTAGGTACTTGTAACTGTCCTCTATGTCTGCTATTGTTCCTTGTGGGAGTGAGACTCCTTCTGTGCGGATCACCTTCCCCCTCTTTGTGATCAGCCGACCACACTTCTCTAGTCCGAATGACATCCCAATGTCAGTGCTGTAGATCCTGGTGGTGTGGATCAGTGAGTCGATGTCTCGCTCACTCTTGGCATACAGCTTGATGTCATCCATGTAGAGGAGGTGACTGATGTTGGCCCCATTTTTGAGTCGGTATCCGTAGCCAGTCTTGTTGATAATTTGGCTGAGGGGGTTCAGGCCTATGCAGAACAGTAGCGGGGACAGAGCATCTCCTGGCAGGAGATGCTCTGGCAGGGAACGCGTACATGGAGCGACATAACCAAGTGGCAGGCATTGTGTACAGAAACATCTGTGCAGAATATGGACTGGAAACCCCGAGATCAAAATACCAGGGCCTCAGGGAAGAACTGGAGAGGGCCTGGAAGGTGAAGACCACAGTGGTGCCTGTGGTCATCGGGGCCCTCGGGGCAGTAACCCCCAAACTGGAGCAGTGGCTACAACAGATCCCAGGAACAACATCAGACATCTCAGTCCAGAAATGTGCAGTCCTTGGCACAGCCAAGATACTGCAGGACCCTCAAGCTCCCAGGCCTCTGGTAGAGGACCCGAGTTCAGAGGATAAGAACCACCCGCGGTGGGTGAGAAGGGAATTTTTTTATATATATATATAATATATATATATATATATATATATATATATATATATATATATATATATATATATATATATATATATATATATATATACACATTTGAAAATCAATGAAGATTTTCAAATAAAATTACATCAAAAGACAATAAGCACATGAGACAATAGGACAACAAAAAAAAAACAAAATGTCAATGTCACACAAGCAAATGAATAAAAATGATAGTAAAATGACTAATAAATACATAAATAAAAGGCTGGGACAGATTTCACAACTGTATTATTTGCTCAACTGTCCATATTATCTGGAAGACACTTAAGTAAAGTAAAGTGGTTGAGTAAAGGGAGCATCATTAGTCAGTCACATATTCCAACATTTTGTTTTAGAAAACTTCAGAGTGTATCAGAAAATTTGTATCTCAGTCCTTCCACATGTAGGATATTTACAAGTTCAGTTCATCTGAAACTTTGGGGATAAATTGGGCTTCCATAGTTTCAGAATACATACAAAAAGCTAGAGTAATACATAAGTTTCAGTTCAGATTCTTGAGGGTGTTGGAGCATTCAAACAAAGCCGTTCCAGAATCAGGTGTGACAATCATTTAAACACAGATGAAAACCACTGAAAGGTGAGAATGAGCTTTAATTAAATGGTAGTTATAAAAGCAGGATTTTAGGCAGTTTTGCTACTCCTTTGTCCCCCACGCCTTCAGACTGTACAACTCCTCATTGGGGGGGTAGGAGGTGACACACGAAAGAGGGAGGAAGGAGTAGTTTTCTACAAATGTGAACTCCATATTTATCAGGCCTAACCATACAGTGCAATACCATATCACTGGTCAATCTGTCCACCAAATTGCTATATTTTCCTTTTGTGTTGCATTTATATTCTTATTACATTTACTGTGTACCTTGTATTTAATTTGTATTTTTTTGTATTCTTTTGCATATACTTACTGTGTGCCACTTTTTTGCCTGTGAGCTGCTGGTAACTTTAATTTCCTGAGGGAGTCTTCCCAAGGGATCAATAAAGTACAAGTCTAAGTCTAAATCTAAGTCTACAAGTGTATTAATATAACACTAAGATGGAAAGACTAAAGAAAACACCATAGAGGAGCAACTGATACTGCCCAGAAATCTGGGGAGATAAGAAAGCAAATTTCCAAACCATTTCAAGTTCACCAATTTAACATCAGAAAAAAAAAAAAAAAATCACAAGTGGAAACCATTGACAACAAGCCGTACATTTTTTTTTCATTAACTTTGAAGTCTTGGTATGCCCCAATACAATTCAAGAATATGTATTACTTTTCAATGTTAGTACCAACATTTTTTTTTACAAGTCCTATAAAAATCAATAATCATAATGTCAGAAAACCACAAAGCTGCTCTGGGATCTAAGAAGGTACACAAATCTAAGCCCAAAAACTTAGGGATCAAAACGCCAGAATAGACGTTTTTGACGTTTTGAATAATCTGGATATCTCAAGTGCATGGAAAAGAAAAGAATGAGTAAGCTCCAATGCAAAACCTGTGAGTAAAGACTAAGTAAAGGCATAATTTTCCACTTCAGAGTGTCATTTTTTACATGCTGCAAGAGTTTTTCCTACAAGTCATAAGACTGAATTACTTGTACAAAAAAAGTCCCTTAAATTTGAATCATAAGTCTTCAGGAAGATGACAAAAGTTCCAAATAGCTGAATCTTTAAGAAAATAACTTTCAGAATCTAGTTTTTATCATCAAGATGCAAACCAGAAGTACATTTAGTTTCTGTCGCCACAGGTGTTATATGGAGACCTTCTAGACTCACCAAAGCATGGTCAAAGCTGAAGGTGCTGATGTAATAGGCAGAAATGTCACCATCTGCCAGGGGCTGAGATATCTGGGCGACTATGCCACATTCATCTGAAACACATGGAGGAAATGCCATCAATGTAAAAACATCATATTATTGTAGATTATAGCTTCATAGATTATAGTACTGCAATAATAAGATAAAACCAATGATGCCTTAATGCAAAAGAAATAACAACTGAATAGTCAGTTGTTGCCAGTATGGGCAATATGGCTCACTGCCCAGGGTGACATGATCTTTGGGAAATTTTAAACATGGAAGAAAAATGAAGTTGTGATAGCTCTGCCTCTAGTCAGTTTTATATTAGTAATTAGGATGTTCAGGAGGAGCGGTGATCCAATTCTGTACAAATCTCCACAGCAGATCATGGTTTCTCCAAAATATTAAACAGTTTTTATTCCATGATCTTTTTCCGTGTCCCTCATTTTTGTAATTCTAAATCAACACAAATGCACAGAAAAAAATTCTTGAGTTTTCTGTGAATTTCTGTGCTTTTGTTTTTTTCTTTTGAAAATGTTGGTTAGTCTTCATGGTTCCATTTCAAAAGGAAATAATCACCATGCTTTCTGTAGAAAGCACAGTAAAAAACGAAAGCTGGAATTTACCTTCTCGATGTCAAGATATGAATATATTTTGTATGAGGGCACAGTTTTGGACATTCATGTCTAACTTTCCACAGTATAAAATATATGTCTGGATCAAATGCTGGTTCTATCCAGAATGTTAATCAGTACCAGAAAATTATTTGCTGAAATATAGAAAATATATTAATCTGGAGTTGTTTTATTACTGTGCAATAAAATTAACAGACCTGGTAAACCATGCATTACTTATGAACTCATGAGTGGTCTCACTGCATCAGACCACTTCCAGCTCTGACTAAACATCCAGACTTTCCTACAGAAGTTGCAGTACATGTTCCACAAAAAGTCGCTGCTATTAGTTAGCTTCATTCGAGTAGCTATGTTTTTAGAACGGTGTCGTTACCACTTGTTGCTGTATAAATGATAAAATCGATCCATAAATGGCTCCACAAATTATTACCTTCTCAAATAATGTGCTACTGTGTCATGTCAATGTTCTTCTTTTGTGCATGTGGGGCAATTTGAGGATGCAAGCCATTTACACAGAAGTCGCATTTAATTAGTGATAAGAACACCCACACACACAGAAATATCCCCCCCAAAATCATATCTCAGCAAAAATCCACAATCAAGCTCAAGATTTCCTGTATGAACATAGTCAGTGCAGCCACAGAATGCATAGGCAGATATGATGTGGTTGAATGGTGAGAAAAGTTGATTCAGAAATGTACATTTTAAAACCAACCGGTACAGGTTTATCTTTCCAATGAACAAACCTTTATTTCTCATATCCTGTGGGACAATGATTGTCATTGTCCCACAGGATATTACACAACCATCTTGTGTGATATTATGTGAAATTTTATAGCACGATAAATGTTATAGAATAATCAAATAACTATGTTAACTTCAGTTATAAAATACTATACGTACATTTTGGGGACTAAAGTACCAATGCTCCAGAAAGATCTGGAGAAACTCTTATATGTGATCATCTTTAGTCGCATTGATTACTGCAACAGTGTCTTTACAGATCTGACAAAAAAAATAAATAAATATTTGGACAGCTGCAGCTGATCCAGAATCGTTCTGCTCGTGTTCTCTAGCTAATTGTGTTGCTGGCTATCTTGAAGGAGCACAGTGGGGGCAACTACAGGTGACTTGGAAACTGCAGCTCCAAAGAGGAGCTTTGGGTCTTCACAAGCATTTTGCACCGTTGAATGGTTGCCATGGGAGACTAAAGGATTTATCAAACATGGACAACATAATCAGAGCAACACTCAATGCATCTTTTTGATTAGGGATTGACATTGTAACAAGATGTAAAGCTCCAAAAAGTTGATTTTACATACTACTGCCCCCTTAATAAAAAACAGGAATATTACTACAAAAACGAACAATGACCTAACTTCTTTGAAGAAACCAACTAAGAGATCATTATGGCACAGCCATATGAGTGATCACTTCAAATTGCATGCATTTTAGCAGTATAAAAAAAATCCTTCAGTGACATGTTGACTGTGAAGGAACCAACATGACCTCTGATGCTACAGAGATGTTGCTTGAAGGAACCCAAAAACCAAAAAAATTAAACCAAGTAGCCAAATCAAACAAATCTCTATGTCAGCTATTACTACAATCAGATCAACTGAAACATTTTAGCAAATGATGCTCTGTCACAGCTTGATGAAAATATGCAGAGTACATGTTATAAGCCACTGATGAATCTACAGATGACACACATTGCCCAACTTCTGGTTTACATGACATATCTAGAGATCTGTGAGGATTTGCTGGTCATTAGGATACCAGAGATACATAAGAGGAGAAGACTAAAATAGGCTACATACCGTTCCAGCCGTTTACATCTTTTCCTTTCTATAAGTGACTTTTGATTGGCTATTTGAACTGCTTGGCATTTAAAGATAATAGGACACACAATATGATCATATGATTTGAGCATGAGAGTTGCACTAGCCACATTAAAACCCAGATTCAAACTGCTGACAGAGCAGTCAAAAGCACATTTCTTCCACTGAGAAAAAAATGTCAAAGGGTTTGTCAGTACTAGTTTTAAAGAAGGTCATTTTTGAGCTCTTTAACTTGTAACTTGAAATTAAGTTTCCAAGTGCACATGTGTTTTTGTTTCTTGAAAGCTGGCCTCGAGTTCCTCTATAGCTGTTTGAAATTTATGTCATTGTTGTGTTATATTAGGAAAGGAAGGAAAATAATATGAAGAGAAATGGGATACTTAAAGAACATTTTTCAGAAGAAGCATTTCTGATTTTATCAACACACAAACAGATGCACAGTTGTATAACCGTACATCTCTGACACCGAGTCATATCCAGAAGAAGTGGAGAGTCCTGCACAACCATTAAAGACACAGAAAGTAGTTTCTGATTGCATCACATTTTTATGGTTATTCAGGAATAATAATATCAAATGCAATGGATTTATACACGCTAACTAGGAAATAGGATGCTGTGTTCAATTCCTGTGACAGCTTTTTAGTACTATGTTGTTAATTTTTATAATTTTGCTTGATACATTTTTTTTAATAATGTTGAAAGTTGTAAGATGAGTCTTACAAAGGTTGTACTGGTAAAATATTTAAATAGATCTTTTTTTTTCATTGCTGATTTAAGCTCTAGTATAAAGTAATTAGATATACAGACATTAAAGTGGTTATTGTTCTGTCAAAATCATAAAAAAGGTAAAGCAGACTGCCTCACCAAAACCCAGCGGTTGACCACCAATACGGACCATCCGCCAGAGCTCCCCGGAGGAGCTGGTGAACAGGAGGTCAGCAGGAAACCTGGAACAAAATAATTTTGCTTTACTAAATGTTCAAATATGTATACTCGAGAACAACTAATAAAAGTTCAATATAAAAACATGATGTTTTAATGGTTTAATGTCTATATTCTGTTAGACTTCTGAGGAGTTGGTGGGTGAATCCTTACTGTCTCTGAGCCTCAGTGTCCATCACTAATGAGATGTATCCGTCGATGAGGGAGAAGGAGAAGAACTTGATACATTCCAAGTCCTGACCTGTAGACGATTCGCTTTCTTCCTTAGGACTAAACACAAAAACGCATTCAGAATGACAAAAACCAATGGCAGCAAAAATATTCATTTTACATTTTATTCTATATATACACGGGTATATCCCTAAATACAATTATCTTTGAAAAATACATTTGTTTTAGAAAGTAATTCTCACACTGAATATGTTCATTATACTGAGAATTCAAGTGTTTATTTCTGTCATTTTGATGACTTCAGCTTCTAGCGGATGATTACTAAGTTTTTAAAAAAATAAAAAGATAATATGACAAAAATAAGGATTTTGAAAAAGATGCTTAGTCTATTTTAAGATACCCACATTGGATTATCAGTTTTACATCAATAATTACAGCAATACAAATAGAGTGCAACAAACTATGCAAAAGCAACCTGGTGTCATTTCACATGGTTTGAGCGAATAATGAAATGAGATTGTCTGCTGCCATCTTGTGCTTCAGTGCAGAACTGCAGTAGTATGAAGAAATTTGATCTTACCTGTTGGAATAAAAGAGGACATCGATGAGCGTGGTGGCGATGGACGGCAGCGTGTCTGGGTCCAGAGACATGACGCAGAACTGGTTCTGTGGGATCAGCACCGGGTGAACTGTGGGCTGCACGGCTGGAGGAACAGCAAACACAACACCACCTTAAAATTTGGATGTGCTAGTGTCTGGTTGAGGAAAAGGATGAAGTCAATTTAATTTCTTAATAATCTAATTTAATCCAAAGAAAAACCTTTTTTTTTTTTTTTTTCTGGAAGGATCAAGTCCACAGCTGGAGTTTAAAAAGATAATATTTTTAATCTCCCAACAAAAATACTGAACATTAATAATCAGGTCAAAGATTCAATTAATATCTTTCATCTAATTCCTCACCAAAGACGTAGGAGATTGCATAAGAATGAACCTTTCAGGATGTTCTGACCTTGTTCTGTTCTTTAGGATTACATAACAATAGCTTCCTGTAAAGGATGCCACCATTTAGTGCAGAATAACCTAAAGCAGACTTTGTTGATTCTGTTCTTCAAGTGACGTCTATCTAAATTCTCTACTGCCCTCCTGAATACAGATCTACATCCTTTAAACTGGAATGACTATTAACACCAGATCTCGGTTTGACCACTAAATTTTACTAACCACAAAGTCTATCACTTAGTTTTTTTTAGCTTAACAGAAAAAGTGGAGAAGTTAAATATACAAATTTGTAGGGATATCTTGAAATATTAAGCAAAAGTTTATAAAACAGATGAAAGTGACGTTTGAACATTAATGCACAGGAACAAGCCATAACTACTTTGTGAAGAATTATTTATGTAGAAGAATCTCATCTTGTACCAAACTAAAAGTGAAGATAACAAGGCATCTAAGACTACATGCAAGCTGTGGCAGTGTAGATGAAACTGGTTTGGTAAAACATAAGAAGCTACAAGTTTCCACAGAACCAGTTAAAAAAAAAAAAAACATTTGTATTGGCTGTTGAAAACCATTTGATTGCAAAGAAAGTGTTTGTTAGAAATACAGTCTAAGTCAAGAACAGGGCTGAGAAATAAAGCGTTTTTAGAGAAACTACATAGAAAATCTCCAACATATTAATTTAATCATTAAGTCAAAAATATAATTTTACTTTCACAAATATGCTGCTATAGAAACCTTAATCTTTTTCTGGTAATTTTTAAATGGACTACAAATGCTACTTTTTTACTTGGTTTTATCACTGGAAAGAAACATATATTCTCTACTTTTTAACTAAATAAAATGTGAGCAAACAAGTTTTAGATTTTTAACATTTTCTGCACTAGGACAGAGTCTACTAATGAAATGTATTTTTTTTTTTCCTCAGGCAAGTCGGATGAATGTTTGAAGGTTAAGAGAATCGATGTTGAAACCTTCTTTGCCGTTCTTCAGGAGGCCGTTGGTAAAGTCCTGGCAACCCACAGGCACATACTCTCCTTCCACTTCCTTAAAAATGTTGAACTCCTCATTCAACGTACTGATGACAACTGACAGGTCTTTCTCCCTCACCTGCATCACAAATATTGGGAACAAACTGAAATAATGTACCGTATGCAACATTTTAAAACTGTGTTGAACACAGGAGCTCCTAAAAGTCTACACACCGCTGTTAAAATTACAGCTATTTTTATTCTCCACAACTTAACTACAAACATGAGAAGAGAATTTGAAAAAGTGAAAAAAAAAAAAAAAAAACCTTCCTCATAAGTGTACAGACATTTAAACTGATATTTTGATCAAGAACTTTCTGGAGATTTTAAATTGTGGTGTGTCAAGCTCTATGGTTACTTTATTTTATCTTTAAATCAAGGTGGATGAAATTTTTAATGCTTCAAAACGTTAATTTTTTAACTAAAACCTCCAGGTTTCAGTTAGAAAGTTGAAAATGAATAGATATTTTTATTGTTAGCATCACTGCAAGTCAAGAAATATATAGAACGTCACATTATTTGCTTTTTAAATTGATTTAGCATGGCTTCTTTTATCTGAAATCTCAAAGTCCTGGCATTTTAACAGGGGTGTGTGTATAAATGCATCTGCAAGTAATGTTATATTTGCATATCTTTAGATGACATGTTTTAAAGCCTAAAGAATGCAGTCTTTCAACAATTCAGTCAGCAAGTAAATCATTAATATTCCTGCTGATGCAGTGGTTTTCCATGTTGTTAAACATTTTTTCTCATTTACTTCTTGACATGTAATACATCAACAAATTTTCTGATGCTGTCAGCTCTCTCAGAAATTAGTTTATCTCAAGATGCAGACATAGTGGCCTATTTTGTCTGATGGGGTCCAGACCATGGGGACTGAAAGCTTCTCACAGGTAGGAAGAACTCCAACAGATTTCTGCAAATGTATTTAAGAGGACGCTCACCAGGATGAAGTCGGTCTGATATGTGGAGAGCATGAAGACGGAAACGTGCTGCTGGGCAAGCGGAGCAATGACCGACTTGGCAATCTTTGTCACGCCGACAGCCTGCGAGCTGCTGGAGGCGTTGCCGTTGGAGGCAACATTGAGGGGCAGCCAGATGGAGCTCTCGACCTGGAGGTGCTCCGAGGGTGCCAGCTCTGTCAAATGTCAAGGGAAGAAAGAGTGATCCATGTCGAACAGCAAACAACATGGCCTTCTGTCCACGACCATCCACATGGCAAAGCAAGATAAAAACTGAAGCTTTTGAACAGATCCTATGATGCATGGAAATACTGTTATTGTATTGAATGTACAAGTGTCTCAGACATGCATTCTTTCATATGTCCAGCTGGGGGCGACTCAAGAGAAGCGTGCCACAACCGCCTGTTTTAACATTAACTTAACAAGAGTTGATGTCCACTTTCTATTTGGATTTAAATACAGAAAATCTGGTGAACATTTCTTACTTTCCAACATTTTCTGATTCAATTTAATGAATTACTTAGTACTTAAAGCTTTGATTTAGTACTACAAGCTTTTACTGATACTTCATTGTATTCATAAACTTTGTGCCATAGCCTTTAATGAACATTAAAGACACATCTACCTCTGGACGACACTGTGTGAAATCTACAACAAAGTCCTAGAATTTCATCTATAAAAGTCAGTTTATCAATGTTAACACCATAAATTGACAATGAGGTAAAATAGGGGCATTATATATAGAGCATATTAGTCCTTAATGCAGGCATGCTGGATAGGATTTGATGCTAAAGCTCAATAAAGTCAGCTCATAGATTTTATGCAATCCATTTTCTTCTTTCTTGAGGTCCTAAATTATAAGGCAGTTTAAAATTACTATTTCCTGTTTTTACCATCCTAACAGAAATGCTATCTCCCCCCTTATGGCAGAGAGTTGAAGAACTCCCACTATTTATATCACAAAAGCAGCACAAGAATATATTATGCTCAAGTCAGGCCACAGTGCCAACACCAGCCAGGAAGACTGTAAACTGAGACCGAGAACAAGTATGCAGTATTCAGTATTTGTTATCTATTCAGACATGTTAGCATGTCATTAAGAGGATTTTTGAAGGCAATTCTTAATCATGTAAATCCCTAAGAATCTAAAGCTGGATAGCTATAATGGAAATATGTCTACTTAGGAAACATAAAGTAAAACATACAAAGAAAATACAAGATCAAGGTAACTTCTTAGGGCAGGTACAGAAAAGTTATGTGAAAGTAAGATGTTTTAAAAAGCAAATACGTTTACATTGTGATTAATAGTGCACTACATTAGAATATTCTGTATCACTTAAGAAAATGCAAGAAAGTCTCGTTTTCTGTAAATTTGGACCAGAATATTTTTACAGCAGTGTGCAAAATTAAATATTTCTTTTGAAATGATAGGAAATAAACAATTGCTTGGTTTAATTTGATACTGCTGGTAAGCCAGGAAGTTTCAGTATGGGTCAGCCTTACTAAAAACATTACCAAACAGCATCTGACTGTGAATGCTCCTTCTTTCCTCCCCTTCAAAGAGCCTTTGCTCTAGTTGGCATAATTTTTCACAGACAGCCCCTTGTGGCTTCTCAATACACCGACTCTTAGCTCCTAAAATAGGGACTCAGAACAAGAAAACCCTGAAGGCAATGGATGCTTTCAACATCTGCATCAGCGGGTACGGCAATGATGAATGCAATCTAAAAAAAACATCTATTTGTCAATCGATCACATCTCCAAAAAAAGTGCCATCATACACTTTGAGGTAAAATACTGAAAGAAAGCATCACTCAGAAACTGAGAAAAAAAAGCAGACTGAACTCCCTGATGAAACTGTCTTTGTTCATGACAAGATATTGGTCAGAAACATTGTTCTTATTTGCCCATCAAATACATACAAATTCTGCTTAAGGAAAAACCCATGAGGCCTAAGTTCTGCACTTGAGGTTCTAGTGAAGTACAAAATGTTCTGGGCAGAAAGTCCAACATTCTTCTTGTCACTTAAATTAATATGACAAATGTCTCTGTTTGTGTGCTATTGGCCTTAGCAATGCAAAGAAGCTAGGTTGATGGATTGTCTGCAGGTAGTCCAGTTTGCTTTTCCAGCCCAGCCTGTGAACCAAGGTGAAATTCTAAATTGAATTCACATGTTCATGCATAACTATTTTACCTTTAAATCCTTCTTCATCAAGGACAACTGTGTAGTTCTCAGGTGTTTCTGTCAGGCTAAAAAACTTGCATCTGGAATAGAGAAGGAAGGTAAAAAAAAGATCATAATTAATAAAATGTGCATGACACACTAGAGAGTTTGATTGCAATGTCATTCTGTGCATCCCACAGATGCACACAGAAATATTCACAAGACATATTTGCAGACACACCTAATCTAGTCTCTGCGTAAACACAGCCCTAGACAGAGCAAAAAAAACCTTGCTGAAAACAGTTCAAGAAGAATAGTTCTAAGTTTTGATTTGACCTATAAAACTAAGCCTAAAATCTAAGCTAAGTTTGCATTTATGAGATTTGTGTCCCAAACCACTGGACACAAAAGACCACTTAGGTCATGTTTAAGCAGTTCAGGACTTATGCAAACGTTCTCCTATTTTTAAGAGAGGCTAAGAAAAATTGTTTGCCGTTATAACAATAAAAAAGCAATTTATCAAGCTAAGCAAGGCTTTTAATTTGTGAATGAAAAGTCACATCTGTAGGGCAGACATTTCATCCACAGGAAGTATCACATTTTCCTGCTTCATGGTATCCCTCTGAGGATACACCCTCCTCCTCAGCAGATCAGCCTGCATAAGCTATTAGAGCTGATGCCTGAGTGCAAGAGCAAAAACTCCTGACTCAGCAAAAACTAATCCCTGCCATGGGATTGGACAATAACACCACTGAGAGACAAAGAGGGAAAAAGCACAGAGAGAAAACACTGTAACAGTAACTGTCAGCTGTGCTAGCAGGCTCTGCCAGCCCATTGTGTTAGAAAGACCTTCTCACTTCCTGATGAACCTTCAGTTCCGCAGCTCGCAGTTTCCTGCAGGTGCAACAACCCTGCATGAGCGAGTGAAACAAGCGAAGTAAAAGCAATATGTTCACTTTTTGTTGTCAAGCATCATGAAGGAACCACATCTGTTTGATTTCCTGTTTGCAAAGTACAGATTAGATTGATAAGAGAGGCATTGGTTCATTACCAAATACAAAGAGAAACGCAGCAAAATTAAAGAGAAAGGGATCTTTGATAATTTGTCGAGAGTCGTCATACAGAGTTCTCAGTTTTCTCCTTCAATTTTAGTTTGAAGGAGAAAATAAGGCTCTGTAAACGGAGAAACATGGAGGATCGGAGATGAGGTGCAGCCTGTTTCAAGTGTTGTGAAGCTCTAATGTTAGCAGAGAACTCCAATAGACCGCACCAGCATGATACTTGGTGGTAATGGGCTGGAAAAATAAGCTCCTTCCTCTGATGCAGGAAGGAAAATAACTTAGAGATGAAGAAAGCAACAGGTAGAGACAGAGCGGAGATGAAAACCAAAGCACACAAGACTCCGGACTTTGATCCAGCCGCACGAAGCAACGGGTGGTATTAGGGGTTGTTGGCCGAGGGCGGCTGGTGGTGTTGGTGGGGGGTTACAAACAACATTCCAGCTGAGAAAACATGATAAGAGAAGAGAAAACTGATGCAAAATATAAGAAATAAAACCGACATATCACCAGATGATGGCAAAGTTCTCTTAACTTCTATACTTTAACATTCCCTCGGACCCGACTAAGGAAAGGAGATCGGGCTTTTTCTGTTGTTGCTCCTAATTTATGGAACAATTTGCCTTTTCAGATTAGATCTGCTAGCAGCCAAATTATTTTAAATCGCTTCTCAAAACTCATTTTTATTCGTTGGCTTTTAACTGAAGCAATTTTTTGATATTCTGTTTTTATCTATTTGTGTTACTGTCGTTCCTGTGCAGCACTTTGGTGCAGTTTTATACCTGTTTTAAAGTGCTATATAAATAAATTTGACATTGACATTTTACATTCTTTTGAATAGTTTGGTTGAGGGCTATGTTTTTTGTTTTGTTTTTTTCTTTATAAAGTCACACCATAAAGAAATGTGTTTCAAGTTAAATCAGAAGCTAACAAAGCATTGCATCATCACCTGGGATTACAATGTTTTTGAAGAAAGTGTATGTAAATGACTTTGAAGAAAGTAAAACGAAAAATGCCTCTCCTTGCTCATTATTTGGCCATAATAGAAACATATTTTTTAATCTTAACTCACTTAAAACAGGGACAAAAACAAAATAGGAATATGAGCAGGAGGTAACTTTTAGAAAAATGTTTTTTTTTTACAATATAATATGAGACAGGTAGTCTGCGGGGGGAAAAAAAACCATAATAAAATAAAAACTGAGCTCCAAGTGGACAGGTTTGGGATCTCTCTTTAAGCCTGCTGATGGGCAGTGTACAGCACCGGTGCCCAAAGTTGGTCCTCGAGGGCCGGCATCCTGCACATTTTAGTTCTCTCCCTGGCAGTACCAACTGCCTTTTCAACATGTCAGTATTCTTCTTAGGCCTTCTAACAAGCCATCATTTAATCCAGGTGCGTTAAACCAAGGAGAGAACTAAAACCTGCAGGATGCCGGCCCTCCAGGACCGACTTTGGGCACCCCTGGTGTAAAGCAACAGTTGGGAGGGGTTACTCACTGATATGTTGAACTGGAGAAAACTCTGGCTTATGTCTAATTCGTACAAAAGAATGCATGTAGCCTTGATTAGAGTTGGGCAGTGAGAACATAAATTGGAGCGAGAGCCTCAACTTTAGAAGATTACTGAAGCAGAAATGTGAAAAACTGGGTTTCTGGCTCAGCTGACGCATTGTTCCAAGCCATGCTCTTGTTATTTAACAGATGAACAGAAGAAAAGGAGAACGGTGTAGCGCCTGCAGGGCTACATCCACAATGCAGAGAAACCAACATACTGGGCTGTGATAATAACCCCTCCTAAAAGTACAATACAAGACTACAAGCAAAGATTGCATAATGAATACTTTGTCAGACTTTGTGAATGGATTGGATCCATTATTCCGCATTTTTTAAATATTAGTGGCAGAGTAAATATAGCTAGTTTAATCCTAAGTCTGTGCCAAAACTCCTCTTGTAATGGATGTTTAAGGACGATCTACAATGTAATAATATGCAATTTGCAACGCTGTAAGAGATCCACTCATTAAAATTCCTCTCAGAACTGCTGTCAAACCCACTGTGTTCAAGCCAGGGAGCTGTTCTTTAATGAATAGAGGAAGGCCTGAAAGGAGGGGTGGGGGGGAAGCCATTCAAGCCAAACCAGGCTTGTTTTTGCTCAACTTTCTCCAGCACTCCTCCCTTTTCAATCAAATGTAGCTTTACAGGAAGAGGAAAAACTAAAAGTACACAATAAGAACAGGAAAAGCAAAGCAAAACACATTCACCATAGAAGTGATGTCCCAACATCATGATGGAACATCAAAGTACACACAATATGTTAAGAAAGAGAGAAGAACACAATAGAGGTCACAGAAGTAGGCATGAATGTTTTTACTGGTTATTTCCAGGTCAATGCATTCAGCTTGGTCCTATAATAACCTTCTTTATAGAATAGCATTTTGCTGTAAAATTCTGTAGAAATGTAGAGCATTGCCCAAGTTAATAGCAACACTATAATACTGTATATTCTTTGCATTTGAAAAAAAAAAAAAATCCTAGTACCCAAATATGCTGTTCTTATGCATTTGAAAAGATGTATTTCAGCCAGCTGAGGTAGTGAGGGAGGGGCAGCACTGCATTACGTCAGAGAAAACTTCAGAAAGCAGAATGGTATGTCATAAACCTTGGCAACCAGATCATGCCTTTTGGCAAGTTCATTTATTACAGACATGTTAAAACTTAGTTTATTACTCAACACAATGACTAATGGCAGGAGACCACAAGGTATGAACAGACAAAGAAAGAAGTGTCTGAAAGTACAAGTTCATATGCTTTACACTTTAATTTAAAGCAGATGTCGTAATAAGCAATCACCAATTAATCACTTTGCATAATAATCCAAAGGTGTACTTGCATTTTATGCCATTACCAAATTATTGCCAATCAAAATGTGTTATTGTGACAGGCTTGCAACCATCAGATGCACATGAGTGACAAAGATGTGCAGCTGGTTAAAGAAGTGTTGGGAAATGAAGCGAGTTTGAAAATTTCACTGCAGACTTTTCTGTGGATCATTTGAAAATAATAATAATAAAAAGAGTTTGGATTGACTGCAAAACTATCAAGACATGTTCATTCATTTGCAAGACTGTCCCAGTCAAAGTCCAGACATACATCCAATAAGAAATTTAATTTTTGCATTTACTGGCCAGACTTATTTTGCAAAAACAAATGTGCAAACATCATAGCTCATAGATGCAAAAGGAAATATTGACTCAGGGCAGCTGTGATGACAAATGCACACTCCATTTTGCAGCTTACAGAAAATAGAAAATATGCAACTTGCTCTTCCTACATCACACTTCTGCAACTAGATGGCGCTGTGTTTATGTCATGAAATACCAATAAATTTAAAAAATTGCGGTTGTAACATAAAAAGTGAGAAAGTTCCAGGGGTATGAATGCTGTAAGATATTTTACAACGATGTAAAATTTTGACAGCAAGCAGTAGATTTCTGACAACAGTGTGATATGTGTTCCTTATTTTTGTCTGCATTTTCTCATCAGCTTATTGACAGCAGTAGATATAGAGCTCTTCCTCTATCCATGCACATGTGGGTCAGTCAGAGAACTAGACAATTACATAGCAACATCTGGATTCCCAGGGATTATCTGAAATCATGAGATGTTAACAACTTAAAAAATGGATGTGGGTTAGGAGTCAAAAAGGTCAAGTTTGTGTTGGAGATACAAAAGAAAACAACAACAACAAAAAAACTTTTGTTGGTAACCTTGAGGTCACACCTACAGATGAAGCAGGATGCAGTCACATAAATGTTTTACATATGAAAAAACACAAATGAGTAATGTTAATATTCAACTGCAAGGATTTTTTTTTTTTTTCAAATTGCACCCATGTGAGAAAATGCACTTCCCTGAAGTCATCGGCTTCTTGCACTGCAGTTCATCGTCCCTACAGCAGCTGCAGAGTGAGGCATGCACAGACAAACAACCCAACAATAGCTCGGCCACCCAGTATCCGAACTGGATTTCCAGGCTGATTCACAACCACATGGTCAGAGCAGGAAGCCGACTTACCGCGTCCTGTTGCGGAGAAATATCAGTTTTATTAGAGGGTGAGTGTAATTGACCAGCCCGTTCTTGGATATGCTGGTGACCCGGAGTCTGTGATCCAGTATTTGCAAGTCCATATTTCCTGCTAACGAGCAGTTCCCTCTCCGCTCGTCTTTTAGCGTTGAAAGCGTCTCTCTAGCTGGACGATGTCATCAAATGTTATATATATAGTCCTGAGTGAGGAGCATTACCGACGGATGTCCACCCCCACGTCCCGCTCGGCTCGCCTCACAGGACGAAAAAACATCCGACGAAAGCAGCCTCCCTGAACTACTGTATATTTAAATACAAGGGGGCTGCCCTATGCGGACACGCCCCCTCCTGTTAAAGCACAACGCACGTGCTTTGGAAAAGTTTGAATGAACGAGCAGAAATAACACTTCCTTATTGGAATTTCAAAATAAAGGAAATCCACACAGTTTATTTACTTTATAAAATAGTAGCGTACACATAAATATATAAACTTTAGAGAGGAAGTAAAAAATAGAACAAAGGGAACAGTTTGTACTTGTGTTTGCTGTATGTTGAAATGACTGCAGATGCAGTATGAAAGACAAGTTGAGAAGATGTTTATCAACTTCTGTGTATTAAGTTGTTCAAAAATGAAGTTTCAACAAAGAATAAAGGTAACTCTATCTTTCAGTTGTTTTCTTCAAGTTAAACTTGACTTTATTTCCAGATTATTAAAAAAAACAACACTAACTTATTTCAAAGCTTTATTTATGAAAGCACATTCAAGTTTACTGAGTCGCCAATGTTTTCAAAACGCCACAAAAAGTCAACTTACAAGTTAGGGTGCAAGTTTGCACATGCAAACTCGCATGTGCAGGAAGATCTGTGGTTTGCAGATCTTCCTGCACATCTCAAACATTGAGATATGTTGATAATGAAGAGCACATATATACTCTTTCACAAATCACCATATAGTTCATATTCAAAGTTTTTCACTTTGAAAACTCCCCAATTTTTTTTTACACATTTATAATTAAACGTAAATGACACATACTGTGCCCCTGTCAATCTGATTAATTCCTTTTAAGCTTTTGTCAGTATTTTTAAAGCATGCTTTCCCAAATAATTGACAAGATGTCTGGCAATACAGATATTCTGAAATACTCCCAACAATGAAATGTATGATTTTTAACAACTGGCTGGAGTGCAGGCAGGAAGATAGTGATCATTCAGCAGATTTAACAAACAGCATCAATTAAGCTCTTGGGGAGGATGATGGTAAGTTTTTGTCATTAAGTTGCTTGTAGTTTTAGTCAACGTGTCACTGTAAAGGTGAACTAGTGGTAGGGATCATTAATCTAGACTCCATGCTCCTCACCAAAGGCACTGAGAACAGACAAAGAAACACATTAGGCTTTGGTAAATTAATGAATATAATCATTTTAAATCAGCATTTTCTTTCATCATTGAAATGTTCATCACTACTGAATACGTTTCTGGAATTTAATGACTATGCAACTCACAGCCATAGTAATGCTTTAAAAGAGTTGGGTGCAAAAATTTGTATAACACTTAAAAATTATTTTTGTAGCCATCAAAATGTTTCTGATACAATGAGGATGTTGACTTGTTTTGATGCATGTTTGGTATTATTGAGCTAGAATAACACAATGTTATGTTCAGGTTTAACATATATAGTGTCACCCAATGCCCCTTGTACCACAGCAATCACCACTGGCTGAAAAACAGCTTCACAGCATGAACCTACTGTTGCCATGCTTAACAGCTAGTACTAAGGTTTTAGCTTACTCCTTGCTTTACTTTTTTATTTGATTTGTATTTTTTTTTTTTTTTTGCTTTTTTTCTCTCTATTCTAAACTAAAAATGACAACTTTATCATTTATAGTTCAAAGCAGAGAGTAATTCATCAAGTTTTTCAAACACAACATTTTAACACCATTTCCCCTTCCAGTTGGCATAAATTGTTTGCTTTTTGTTCCAATTATATTTTTCAGGTCATTGAACAAATCTTAAGATTAAATAGGGATCATTTGACAACATGAAATGTTTTTGTTTTTTCAAAGACAACTTCATTTAAAACAGAGAAAAATGTTTTTTTTTTTTTTCAAAGCAATGAGGAACTGTCTGAAAATGTAACTACATCCTAAACATAATAGCTGATGATGACAACCTGGGCAGCATCAGCTGCTTCAGAGTGCTTGTGATAATTGACAATGAGTCTCTCCTTTTACTTTTGAGTAATTTTGCCCCACTGCACTTTGCAGAATTGTTTAAAGGTTCAAACATTAACAGCTGTTTTAAGGTCAGGAGACAGCATCTGAACCGGATTTGAGTTTAGACTTTGAACTGTGCCGTAGCAACTGCCTGGCCAGCGTCTGTGCTGCTCGCTTCTCCTCTTAGGCCCAAGCTTGTACTTTTGATTTTTTGGAATAGGCTACTCCAAAACTAACATTGTGTTATTTTTGGACCCATCAACATCTTACCAGGTGCACTTCCAATGGTCCTGCTGCCTAACCTAAACAAGCTTAAGTTTTAAGTCATAAACTTAAGGTTTATGGCCAGTTTCAGACTTAAACTTAAAGTTTATGAGCCGGATTTTCTGAAATAGGAGAATTAAATGGTCCAATTAGTAATGGCAAGTCATCCAGATCCAGACTTGTAAAGCAGCCCCAGGTCATCTCACTGCCTCCCAAAGGTTTGATTCTGTGATGTACAATGTTATTTTTCTCAAATACTGTTTATCATACTCCACATTTAATAGAAATCAACTTTCACTTATCTTGTGTCAGCTTTGACACAAGATTTTTTTCTTATCACAAAAGACTGAATTGTATATTTTCACATTAATGTAAACTCACAAAAAAAAAAAAAAGACAGAAATTCTTTTTGCCATTAGTATTTTTTTTAAAAGCATTAGTGTTGCTGGAGTTGTCTTACCTGTATAATACACATTAACATCCCAGCCCTCTTTCTGCCAGGCAGAGTTTCTTGTTTCCTCTCTAGATTGAAGGCTTTCATAGGCTATAAAAACATAAAAAAAATTATATCCTATGTAAGTGAATTTATAGTAGATCAAAAAATAAACATTGTGCCTTGCTGTACCTTGTTTCTTCCATTTATTATGATCACTGTAATAATCACCATACATATATTCCCAAAAAGTAATATTTGGATTTTCTTGTCAAAGATTGTTGCAAAACAATGAAAAATATTCCTTAGTATTAGATATTCTGTTTACCACAGTAGTCATCATAAAAGTGCATTTTTTTCTCTGCAGCCTAAAAAGTGTTTACATGCAGCTAAAAATGTACGCAGAATTTAGAGTCTCGGTTTATGATTCATGAGCTTAAAATTAACATAAATAATATAAGAAGATAATATTTATCAAGGAGGAACCAACAATTATTGATTTGTCCAAATTTGCAACATAGGTTTCTGCTATTGTCATGAGGCATAAGCAATAATCTTAGTGAAATTCTCCTCCTGTTAAGTTTTAGAAAAATGTGGGCATTACTACTTATTATCATCCTGAGGAATAAGTCTTTTTAACAGTATGCAAATTTACCCAGGACAAGCTTGCAAATGTTGTACGCATGTTAGAGGAAACATTTAGAAACTTAGGATTTAAAAGTTACTCCTAAAAAGCCAAATCCTAATGTTTCTTCAATTGGTTATGTCTGAGCTTGGGTCACAATTTATACACAGTGTAACGGTTGGCCAGATGATCTGTGAGGATATGCCTTTCTTTCCAAGGTGGCTTGTGAACAAAATATTGAGCATTATCTATCCCCCCCAGCTGTCTGAAGTCTGTGAAACGCAAGATGGGCTTAGCTCAGATCTGCAGATTTGACTTTCAAGCCTTATCCAGCCTGGTAACTGTCCTAAAACTGCCTCAGGCAGTGAAGAGTGAAGTATAAAATGAAACATGCATTATGTGTGTTTTTTTCTTTTTTTGCAGTCCCAATATTTTCGTGCCTTTTGGACTGAGTCTCACTTGAGTATTTTCCAAAAACTGAAACATCATAAATGACTCACCCCACAAATGATGAACAACATACAGGTCACCAATCTGGGAGAAGAACCCTCCCACTGCCTCATTGTTTTCCTGCCTGTGTTTGATTGCCCTTGCCCTGTAATGGAAGAGGTTATTTTCAGGAGGGAATTGCTCACAGAGACACATATTATTCCACAAACAGAAGTTCAGGAACCTGATGTTACGTTTCAGGCAAGTGAAACTTGTCTTACCAGCGATTGCCCCATTCAAGCATGGTTCCTGGCTGAAAGACAGAGGAGCAAAGAGAGACGGCTTTAATCTAATTAATGCATGTCATTTATATTTTATATATGTCTGTAATTTCATCGGAAAAAATGTCTTTGTATCTTGAGTCTACATGCAAGAACTAGTGTGGCACTAGCTGCAAACAGAGGTGATCTGTTTGTTTTCTTTCCTATGAATAAAGAAGTGACTCCCTCACATAGTGAGTCAGCTATGAAAAAATAGAAATTATGCAGCAGGGAGAGTCAGAAAAAGTACATCAAGTCTCAGGTGAAAATAATGTTATTTTGCAGACAACAATCAATATCTATATTTTTGTCTGATTACTAGCAATCACAGGAGTATAGGTGATTACAGATTTACCTTAACAGTTAGCTCATACAATAAGCTTCAACCGATACAATTCATATAATTTCATTGTGAAGTGTATGAATGAAAATGGTGAATAATCACAGTCATCAGAAAATAGTTCTCATTAGTCTCATTACAGTCATGGGAAAACAAACTATTTCCAGTGAGTCAATAGAACCACATTTAATTTGAGCTAAGTTTCCTATGAGACATTATCAGTCTCTCACATTGTCCTGGAGACATTTTGGTACACTTTTGTTTTCAATATTTTCAGTTCCAGGAGGTTTGCAAACTTTTATGTCTGCACAGCTCTCTTAAGGGTTCACAGAACCACTGTAGTTAAGCTTGGACTTTGCATGGATTACTGAAAATGCCTTGATTATTTCAATTCGAAGCCATTCTTTTGTAGATTTTTGTCGATCGTCCCTGCATTGTATTAGCATTGTCTTCATTTGGTAGTATTCTGGTGTTCTACAGAAAACTGCTTAAACCTTTCTTTGAAAGAAGTCAGAACTGCTGCCAACTAGTGCATCTAATCAGCAACATCTGGCTTCAATTTCCCTTCTGAAACGCAATGGAAAAATTAACATTTTATTTTAGTTTTCCACATCAAGCAGCAACCTGAAGGGACAAACACCAACTCAAATTACCTTGAGCTTGTA